TAACCAACCAATCAATCAACTAACCAACCAATCAATCAACTAACCAACCAATCAATCAATCAACTAACCAACCGATCAATCAACTAACCAACCAATCAATCAACTAACCAACCAATCAATCAACTAACCAACCGATCAATCAACTAACCAACCAATCAATCAACTAACAAACAAAGCAACCGCATAACTCTGGGCGGAGCTTCGAAGATAGCAGACCTATTGAAGCAAAACACAAACCTGCAGACGCTAGACCTCAGTTTCAACCTCATCTCGGATGAGGGGGCCGTCAACATTGCCCAAGCCCTGGCCCTCTACAACACCAATCTCATCAAGTACGGCACGAATCTCAAGTTTTCAGAAAAAAATTTTTTTTGGTTGAAATTTCATTGATCGTTTCCCAGATGGCAGGATTTTTTTTCAGTTTCGTCATAAAAAAAAATCATTCTGTTACTATTATAATCACGAGTTAAATAAATATATTTTAATAAATGAATAAAATAATAATATTAATAATAGTAATTATTATTATTATTATTAATGATAGACTGAGCGTAGTAAAGAATGAATTAACTGGTAAAGGTTTATGTTCCCTGGCTCAGTGTCTCTTCAACAATCAAACACTGCAAGAAATGTACGTTACTGGGAACCAAGCCGATGAAGCCGCCTGCATTGTAAGTCGTTCCATCATTTCGTTATTTACACGTTTCACTCATTCGTTTCATCATTCATCTATCTATTTTTCTATCTATTTATCTATCTATTTTATCATTTGTCTCATCATTCTCTAGTTTCACCATTCACTATTTTACTGTTCACCCGTTTTGTCCTTATCACATCGCCATCATCATCACACCATCATCGTCATTATCACCATCATCACATCATCGTCATCCTCATCGTCACCATCACATCATCTCGATCATCGTCGTCGTCATCATCGCCCGACGAAGGCCTTCAAGAAAGTGATAGATCTTGGCAGACTGACACTGGAGCATACGGACGTCGTTCCATACACCATGGAGACGGGAGAGATTGCCATGGCTTGGTCTAATAATGGTTGGATGAATGAATGAATGAAGTAAGGAAGGAATGGATGGATAGATGATTAAAGAAATGAATGGAGGGATGGATTATTGAATGGGTGGTGTAGAGATGGACGAAAATATTTGTGGGCGAATGAATTTTCAATGAATGAACAAATAGATGAATAAACGAATGAACAAATAGGTGAATAAACACATGAAAAGACAGATAGATAGATGGATGGATGGACGAATGAGTGAATGAGTGGCAATGATAATTGTTACAGTATCTTAATTATTTAATTGTAAGGTATTATGCCTTATTATTACTGGGGACCGACGTACGGCGAAAATGCACAGCCCGAACTATCTAGGTTGACTGAATGAATGA